GGAAGTAGCAGAGGCGGCACACGGCGTGGTATTTGTCGGCTCCTCCAATCACTTCGACCTGGGACACATAGGGGCCTGGACTGAGCGGGCACAGCACCCCGGGCCCCCACCCCTGGGCGCAGCGGGCAGCTACCTCCTTCTCCAGGCCCAGCCTCTTGGTGTAGGCGGCCTCGCGGAAGCACTCCATGCACACGGCGTTCAGCTTCACCACGCTCTCGGCCAGCGGCACCAGGTGCAGGATGGTCCCGAAGGCCTGGCCGGGGCGGCAGGTGAGCTCACCTGGCCGGGCTCGGCTTTCAAATCCTCTGACTCACAAGCCCTGGAGCCAGTCGAGGGGCTGCCGTCTCCGTGCACACCTGTGCCTCCAGGCCTCTTCCTCCCTCCGGGTCCCACCCCAGGACCCAGACCTGGGCCTTACCTTCCTCTGGAAGGTCCCGTCCAGCGCAGCCACGATGACCGTCTTCCCGGCGTTGGCCATGGTCTCGCTGAACTCCACGATGTCCGGGAACTGGAAAGCGCAGGCGGAGGAGTGAGCGCCCAGCCACCCTGAGCAGCAGCTTCCGGGAGCCACGGGGAAGGCCTGCCACTGGCCATCGCCCTCCACACCGACACGGCAGGACAGTCCTTCCTCATCATAGGACACTCAGAGGGACCTTGGCCCCCCACTCACGACACTGGTGCCCACGAAGAGCAGGTGCTTCTGCCTGAAGCTTTGTCCCGCTCACATGCCGCCCCGCCCCGCCCCCAGCGACCGCTGAGCCCTGGGCCCCAGGAAGGACTTCCCCACGGTCCAAGGTAAGGACGGAGCACCCAGGTGTCGGTTGCATTCACCCGCCGGTAACCTCGTTGCTGACACTTATTGCCGTTAGTTTTGTTTGGATTTTAACTAATCGTCACTCAAGGAGCGAGCATATTTTGTCCATTGAATTTTTTTTTAAGGATTTACATTTAAAAAAAAATATATATATATATATTTCAGAGAGGAAAGGAGAGGGAGAGAGAGATAGAAACATCAATGATAAGAGAATCATTGACCGGCCTCCTCCCGCACGCCCCCTTCTGGGGATCGAGTCTGCAACCCGGGCCTGTGCCCTTGCCGGGGAATTAAACCGGTGACCTCTTGGTTCACAGGTCGACACTCAACACCGGCCAGGCGACAGGTTACATTTCAAATGGGATTTCAAAGTACTTAGTAAATTTGGGGCTTCGTTGTAGATAAAGTAATTGCAGTACAGGGACAAGGTAGGAAAGGAGGGTGGTGGCGCCTTTGCCCACTGGGGTGCCGGGTACGGTTCCGCCCCCGCCCCCACCTGCAGCGAGCTGCTTCCTGAGCAAGGTCCAATGGGGGAGAGAACCCAAAGGGGAAACCAGGACGCCGGGAGGTAGGTGTGCACCCCCAGAGCTGGCTGGCTCAGGTGGCAGCTGACGACCTCTGGCTCCGCTTCCTGGCCCTCATGCTGGCACCGAGGCACGAAGGCCACCAGGGACAGGAATGAAGGATGTGACAGCAAACGGTAAAGGCCAGAAGAACAGAGAAGAAATATTTACGCCCTGGCCAGTGTGGCTCAGTGGATAGAGCATCGGTCCTCAGACTGAAGGGTCCCGAGTTCGATGCCGGTCAAGGGCACGTACCTTGGTTGCAGGCAATGATTCTCTGTCATCATTGATGTGTCTCTCTCACATCGATGTTCCTCTCTCTCCCCCCTCCCTCCTTCCTTCCACTCTCTCTAAAAATCAATGGGAAAATATCCTCAGGTGAAAATTAAACAAAAAAGAAATATTTACAGCACATGACTGAGCGGCACCAGGTATGTCACATCTGCTAGATGTAGGACAAACCGAGAGAAAAATGGGGCAGGCCTTAAACGGAGACTCGAATGAAAGAGAAACGCAGTCAGGACAGGATGCACGCACAGCACCGATTAGAAAGAAATGCAGGTTCTTACAGGCAGACGCGCAGCAGATATAAAAGAGGAGCTGGCCCAGCCGGCGTGGCTCAGGGGCTGAGGTCGACCTATGAACCAGGAAGTCAAGGTTCAATTCCTGGTCAGGGCACATGCTCGGGTTGCGGGCTCCATCCCCAGTGGGGGGCGTGCAGGAGGCAGCCGATCAGTGATCAATGATTCTCTCTCTCCCTCTCCCTTCCTCTGAAATCAACAAAAACATATTTTAAAAAATAAATAAATGAAAATAAAAGAGGAGCTGACCGGAAATCCCAGAAATGGAAAATAGTCCTCAAACCCAGCACATGGGACGCAGTGCCCAGAGAACCTCACAGGCAGACGGCTCCCGGCCGGAAACCAAGCCGCGAGCGCTCACAGTCAGAAGACACACCAAACACGAACCAGGAGGAATGGACACGAAAGCCCTGCGGC